ATAATATACTATCTAAATATATATAAAACTAATATATAATAATATAATATATTTAATTAATATTTTAACTATATGAAAATACAGATATATAGAATAATAATAACTAAAAATAACTAAAATAATATTAATAAAATCTACTCTAAAAATCTACTTTGTAACAGTATATTTTCTAGTTCACGATTTAAGTCTGCTTGCATATAATGTACCCAGATAGTTTATAAATTTTTTGTTAGGTATTTTTGTTTAGACCCCAAATCTTTTAATTAGTACTGTATGGTATATGAATTTTTTGGCTTTTTTGAAAAAAAAAAGAGAATATGAATTTAATTAAATTCTTTTTTATTTTTAGTAATAAGACTAACTAAAAAAAAAAAAGTTGTATAGAGTTTGAAGACGAAAGTCTAGATAGTTTTTAAAAAGAGTATTCTTTGCATTAATCTGCTAAAAATAAAAATTTATGTTTGATTGTCTATTATAACTATTGACAATTTTATTTTTCAGGTAAGAAAATATTTATTCTAATAATTAAATATTTCAGAATTTAGAATATTACATGAAAATTTATTTATGTTGACTCAATTTCAGCTTTTTGTTTAAAAGCATAAGTATACGAACTTATATAATTTTGAATTGTGATAATTTTTAGAATATTTTCCTTTTCTATTTTACCACTTTTAGTGTATTTTAATAGCTCGTTGTGCATAGCTTGTGCACTCATTTTATTCTTATTTCTTTTGTTTCCATTTATAAAGAAACATTCTAACATAGCTCTTATATTTGGTTTTATTCTAGTTTCTTCTCTGTTGCCTAATTTTTGGCTGCCTTTTAGCATCTACCCCTTATATAATAGAAATTCTTTATCTATTATACTGAAGAATTGATTAGCAAATAAATATTTCTTAGGTTTCTTACTAGAGATTGTACCTACTAAGAAATTTTCTACCCAGGTATTATTAAATTATCTAGTTATCTGGGTAATTTATTATGACTATATAATAAAAATATCTACCTGGATACGATTTTTATTTCTTACATATACATATCTTAGAATCACATTATGACTATAGGAACTAATAATTGATTTAGATATTTAAATGAAAGGCAGAAATATGCAGCGTAGATATATATAGAATTATTGTTACTTACTATTATCTATTTTATTTGTTTCTTCTTCATTTTTTGATCCAAACCAATACGATCTTTTAGTTTTTAAAGAATTAAAACTTTTTTTAGTATATAAAATTAATATTATATAAATACGTTTATACCTTCTTCATTATTATCCTCAACTAAAGTAGATTAAATATATTAATTTAGTTCAAATTTGAGAATTTGGTTAAACAATAATGTAATAAATTTTGCTAACTATAATCAGTGATAATCATCACTGGTATGTAATTAGCTAATATCAGTTTGTGTAGCAAAATAAATTTTTTTTTTTTAAAAAATGTCAATATCTCAAGAATTCGTCTATGAAACTACCTTTGACATTTTAACAAAAAAAAATTTCTTGCTAAATTTTGTATATATTTAACACCTTGCTAAAATCCTAGACCTCGCTCTAACCCTAAAGTAGAGGAAATGAATTTTTATTTTATTTATTGTTATTGGCTAATTACATACCAGTGATGATTACCACCAGTTCTATTTAGTTTAACTCTAATGTAATACTTACTAAACTCTGTATTTATTGGAATTGTCTATGTAGATTTTGATATGGTATGCTTCAATTGGGTTAGTTGCAGCTAATGAAGTTGAATATTCCAAAGTTGATTTAAATACGCGGGAAAAAATTATTCTACTCTCCAACCTGAGGCAATGAATATGTATGAATATATCTGCTATATCTACCTTCCATGGGCCATTTCCAAAAAAATAGGTTTGAAATTCCTTTTATTGTCTTGATTTTGATTTTTGATTTTTTTGATTTTATATTTTCATCAGTATTTTTCTCTACAGAAATATAATCATCACGATTTGGTTCTATATTTGCTATGGAAGTTCTTAATAAATTTTTTAACTGCCTCACAAATATCATCTCCTGTTTCTATATCATATCCGATTCTTAAATACCATTTTATGGCATGTGTTATTTTTAAAAAGTAGGTATTTTGTTTGGTGAACAAGAAAAGAAATAAAATAATAAGCATAATATCATAAAGAACCTTCACAATTATCTTTTTAATTGAATTTATGAAATTGTTGATAGCTCTAGTTAAAAAAAAGAAGAAAATACTAACCGCTGCATGATGTGAATCGACAGTTGTTTTTGTCTTACTAGGCTCTAAAAACAACTAGCTTCGAACTTCAATATTATACTATTCATACTAGTACTCAACTATAGCTATTAATTCAGAATTATGGTAATAAGGCCTATTATCAGATATTACCTTTATCTATTTGGGTTTTCTATCCAATTTCTCAAAAACAACATTGAATAATAATGCTGTAAACCAAGCATCTTGCTTGGTATCCATTAACTAGTGGTCAAATGCTTGAATATCTATTTCAGTTTCATTTTTTTAGTAAAAACTAAAATAGAATATAAAGTCTAGCTACATTTTCCAAAAAAAATCTCTTTTTGATTTGCATACAGATTGAAGTAATACACGCATTTTATAATCTACAATAAAAAGCACACCATTGAGATCAAGCTCGGCTATTGTTACTTTAAATTGGGCATTCAAGTATACTTTTCACGTTTGATGAGAAAGGTAATATAATAATTGCTTCTTGTACTCTGTTATTTAATTTTTTTGTACTCTTCTATCTGTTCATGATTATTCGAAGATGCTGATTCATACATAATATTCAGAAAATTGAACAATTAATCGCAATTAGAGTACCTTGTTTCATGGCTATTAATGCATTCACCAAAAGCATAAGGTAAGTAGTAGGAAATGCATAGATCATGCTCAATTTTATTATCTGCTTTAACTTTCAATTCTCTTTCATAACCCTATTTTATGTGTCGCTTTAGTTTTTTCGAGATATTCTAAAAGCATAGATTAATAAAACTATATAATAAGGTAATTATATATTAGAAATTACATATAATTATAACTTACATATAAAATAATTATTATTATTTCAAGCAAAATATTAACATATAAACTTACTATATTATTTTTATATTTAAAATAATTCTGTATAAAGTTTTCAAAATTTTTGAAAGTTTTAAACCTATAATCACTGCAGATAGCCTACCAAGGTCTTTATGGTATTTAAGGTTGATACAATCATTCAATTGTACCATGAAAGCAGTTCTTTTCACGCTATTTGGATAAGTTTCACTAAACTTATCCCATAAGTTACTCTTTTGGTTATATAAATACAGAATTAGCAATCCTATTACTGAATCTACATGGTATGAGCTCATTGTAACATTTTCTCTGTCATGAAAAAAATAACAAGAATTGATCTTCTTTACTTTAGATAATCGTTGGACGGTTTTTTTTTGGGGTTTTGCAAGAGTAGTACGTCTAGACCATAAAGTCATGCATGCTTTCTAGCTTTATTTATAGTATCCAGCCCAATCTAATAGCAAAAATATTATGTTTTAATAAAAACTATAAAAGATCGTCAAATCTGATTCATCTAAAATTGTTTAAATCTATAGCTTTGATATAAAAAAGTCAAAGTATGTTGATATATAAAATACATTAAACTATGCAAAGTTAATCGGTTCTCATAACCCAGCTGGGTCAAATTTTGAAAAAAATTTTTTGTTTTAATAACCGGGTAAGTTTTTTAAAAATTTTTAAAAAAATTTTATAAATTGTTATATATAAATAAAAAAAGCAAGCCTGTTGGATTTATTTAAGAAATTTCATATTACAAGCATCAATAAATTAAATTTGTGTGGCCTTAGTAGAAAGCTTGTCTAGTTTTAGAAAATTCAGTTCGTCTAAGATTCCAAGTTGGTTGTGAATTTTAAAGATTTTAGCTTATGAAGCTAAAATCTTTAAAACATTTAAAAAAAGATTTTGCTAAATTACTATATTACAATTACAATTACTTATAGCTAATTTTTTTTTAAAAATACGATATTTAAACTTTAGGACAATTATTGAAAGGATATGAATTTTACTATCTGGTCCTCTCTTGTTTGAAAACATTACATCTCTAAAGCTATCTCAAAATATTGTATTTTGTGAAGTTGGTTGCAGAACTGGTATAGATGTTAAAGTATTTTTATTTAATTGTATAATATTATTTTTATAAAAGTTTTTTTTTAATAATTCTCTATTAGCAGTAGAGTCTAATGATTTACTCCAAAATTCTATAGACAATTCTTCTTTTGAAACAGGTGTTACATTAGTACACCCACAGACAACAAATATTGCTCACTATGCTTGTAGTTTCTTGTTATAAAACTAATATTTAAGTGGATAAATTCTTTATAATATAAGCAGGAACTGAATAACAGAGCTATTTTGGTGATACCACTTATCAAAAAAACATGGCCATTCAATCATCTTATTAGGAATCTTATGTGATTTTATATGATGAGAAAATATTATTTCTAGCAATTCTAAATTCTTCTAGTCACTAGCAGTACATATTGGCAATTCACTTTTCAACTTATTTAGATGTTTATGAACCGATACATTTGTAATTTCAAAAAGGTATGATTCAGTATATTTTTTGAAGAATTTCTATATTTTTTCAAACTTCATCTGAAGTTTCTCCTGTAATTATTTTAATACATGTTGATTCCAAATAAATTTCTACAATACATTTACTTTCTTCAACTTTGAGTACAAAAAGATGCTGTGTACTATGATATTGTATTGTAAAAGAAGAAACAAATCCAGAACCAACCTATAAAATCTACTTTCTACTAGATCACCTACTTTTATTATCACCACAAGAAGTTTGTCTATACGAATGAATATGGGAAAAAATAATATATCAGCGATTAATTGTTAAATAATATTTATATTTTCGAATCCTATTATACCCAAACCGGAGTATGCTATTTTTGTTTTAAAAATCACTTAATAATATACAATAATTGCTGCTAATAGATATGATTTAATTTCTGTTGTAGTTGTTTTACAAGTATATTGAAAACCCAGCTTTAATAAATTCTTATCATTAGGTAAAACCATAACAATGAAGTCTTTATTATTAAGTTCATATGAAATACGTGAGTATAAATGATAAGGTACTACAAGATTTTTCATTTCAGATTCTATTTCTATATTAATTGTCTCCTACCAGGCTTTAGCCCAAATTTCATAATGCAGTTGTGATCTTATAGTGCCTATATACAAAATTTTTGAAGAATATTGTCATTTTTTGGGCATTGTTATTAATATGAAGTATTTTTTATTATTTATTTATTTATATTTTTTGTAAAAATTTAAAACTTAATCAAGGTAAATTCGATTATCTTTTATACAATTTTTTATATATTATGATTATTAATCCACATACAAACTTTTTTCATTGAAATTTAAATAATTTTTTTTTTTTCTATTTAAATGAAAGAATCATATAATAGCAGCCCATAAATCACATTACACCAACAATTGATCTAAGTATGGAATTAACAGATTGTATACACGACTTATTAGAGCATAATGTGATAAACGACTACTTAAATGAACTAATTTGAATTTCTGTGATAATCTTAATATAACCTAAATATGGAATTAACAGATTTGTATACACAACTAAATTAGAATTTAAAATAATAAAGTCTGTATAAGTAGAATAATAGCAATTGACTTAGGTGTAGAATTAACTACTTTGTATCTACAACTTAATTAAGATATAGGATGATAATGACTGCATAAGTAGAATAATTTGATTATTCTAGCAGTTATCTAATATTGTTACAAGAGGACTGTAGCCTTTTTAATACAGCACAAATAACAAAGTACACAGCTATAGAGCTCTGTTGCGAGATTATAATGATGTAGAAGTGGAATGTAACTTCACTAAAAGCAGTTCGTAGAAAGTATATAGTTTAAAGAAAGATATATTTTATTTATGATATAAGACTTTAATTACAAGATATAATAT